GGGGGGGGGGGGGGGGGGGTGTTTAACTCAAGCTAACATCATTCAAAAGCCTTTACCGAAGCGGTTTCAGACTCTCTCCTCTCGTCCCTCTTTTTAAGTTCGACATATTTCGCGTTTTCCTCGCAGCCTTGCCATTGTACTGTACTGAGCCTGCCTCTGAAATCTTAAAGCCGTGTGATGTGACAGGGAGATATCATGCCTTCCCACTAAATATTTATTGCTCTGACTTCTGGAATATTCAGAAATATGCATCAATTTCCTAATCAATGAACCACAGCTTTCTTTCGTTGTCAGTCCATTTAAGATGACGAAATACAAAAACACTTTGTAATGAGACCATAGGGACTGACGTGTGCTGTAAAGTGAAATTGCTGTTCATTTATTGGGTTTAAATGGTTATTTATTTAGTTTGTGTGTGTTTGAGGGAGAGATTATCTAGTCTTTTTACACATCCTTACCATTCTGTTTGACTCTGTGTGTGTGTGTGTGTGTGTGTGTGTGTGTGTGAAGGACCGGGTTCATGAATGTCTTTTTACTCATTGTTTTAACAATCTGTGCCAGAATCTTTGACAATGGGAATAAAATGCTTTATTATGCTTTACTTATGAGTAACAAATTTTAATTATTATGGTTACTGTTGATATTGTTGTAATTCTTATTGTTATTATGATTATAATTATTGTTATTGTTATTATTATTATTATTACGTGCTGGAGGCTAAGCTTTATTATCGGTTTCATTTTTATATTTCCTTTCTTGAAAAACAGTGTAAAACTTTCCAATCTTGCCTTTCTATGGACAGCAAGCCATGCGGCTTTCAGAAGTAATTATATTGTGCCAGTTCCATGCATTTCTGAGTGATATTTGAGAAAATTTTTTTGCTTATTATTCCATTTTGTTTTAGAAGGATGACCTTCTGAGAGCTTACTTACTAAGTGTTTACAGAAAAGGTATATACAGCACACGCTTCTATATTACTAACGTACACTAAGTAATGAATATTATACCAAAAATAATAATCTGGTATACTATATATACATAATATTATATATACATTTAGTGCTTTTGTTTCGATTTGGTGTACAGGTGCAAAGCTTTGATCAAACAGTGAATTGCTTGGTTGATTTTTTTTCCTCTACTTTGAAAAAGCACAGATTATGGTGTTATGTTATGAAGGGCCACTTGAAAGTACATTTTAAAGAAGAATCGCAGCTTTAATTCTGTTGCCCTTGGAAACGTGCTCAAGTTTTAATGGATGTGCTCTACTGTATGCCATCACTCTGCATTTGAATTAAGAAGGCTGGCCACTGTCATGTGGAATTATGGGAAATGTATGCTTTGCAATGAGAAATTGTACAAGTTTTAGACCTCAAATGTCATTGGCCCAAGTGCCAGTCACAATTGCTATCCAAATCCCTCCAAATGATTGGACATTTAGCTTTTTTCCTGTTTGTTTAATTTATTGTGTTCTTTACCTTTAATTGAAATAAAATCTGTTGGAATTTAAAAACAAACTGGATGACATAATTTGAATCCAATTCATTTATGCAAGTAAATAGCCCCTTTCACATAGTAATACCAGTAAATTGCTGTAAAATAACCACTCAAAACTTTAACTGTCAAAATGTGATGGAATATGTAAATCAAGGTTGATAAGGGCCATTTTTAACTCCTTAAAGGGGTCCTATTATGCTCTTTTACAAAGTCTTGATTTTGTTTTGGGGGTGTACTAGAACATGCTCTCACGCTTGGTGGTTCGAAAAACTTTTTATTTTTCACATAATTTACATTATTAAAATACCGTTCTCCCCATCCTGGCTCAAACGGCTCGATTAGTTCCGGCTTTGATGAAGGTCCACCTTCCGAAAAACAAAATGTGTTGTGATTGGTTAGCTGTCCCAGTGTGTTGTGATTGGCGAACAGCTTAGTACTGCTACGCCCCCTTGCTCCGTCTTTCAACAAAAGCTTTTGGTGAATCCGGCACTACTTACTTGTGTTGTGGAAGCTGTCCTCAGTAAAATGCGCAGCACACAATACCACATTGGGGTTATAATGCTCAGGGACAGAGTTAAAAAATTAATCGCAACCACTGTTTCCTGACATCATCCACGTTGGGCATGAAGGTTGTAGGCGGGAATTATTTGTAATGATATTCTAATGAGCCGCTTTGTGATATCCCAAAGCCCGGAAAACAAAGCCCGGAAAACAAACAGACTTTGAGATTTGTAACTTTCTAGATCTTTTTAATGCCCAAACATACACACTACACACTGACTAAAATTTAAAAAATGAAAAAGCATAATAGGTCCCCTTTAAAACAAAATAATGTTGACAAAATAATTTATATAACGTTAGATAAATTTCCCAGGTAAACAGATCGAATCGGGGCAAATAGCCTACATTAAAGGGAATTAGGCTACCGAACATGAATAAAATATTCAAGCAGACACTGTCAAAACGGCAATCAAGAAATGCATCATTTTCAACGTCAGCAGTCAGAATAATCCAATTTAAATGCAAAAAGTGCCCAATATAAGTGATAGGAAAAAGCAACGTTGCAGGTATTTCACACTCGTTCATGCACACACCATGGCAGTCAAAACGGTGTCATTCATTGATAGGCTACATACTGAATTATAATCCGACAATTAAAAAAAATAATAATGCGCTTACCTTCGTGTCGCTCTATAATTTTACAGAGAACGGGAAGCCTCTTAAATTCATATTGTAGAACATAATACAGAAATTTGCACTGTCAAAACTAATCAAGTCTAGCAGTTTTCAAGGATTTATCAATCTGGACCGTTTAAAAGATTTAAGACAGGACCGTATAAACCGACATATTTAGTTTCGGTTTTGATGAATTAATTCAAATGTGCTCTGATTTTGGAGTTGCAGTGATAGAGGCTTCGTGTCATCTCACTCCACAATAATTCACGTTTTGAGAGTTGAGTCCCACTCTTTAACTTATATTTAGGCATTGTGATTAATTGAATATACAGTCATACTACATTCAAAATCAGATATATAACATATCACGCTAAAAACTTGTCACTCATGAATCATAACGTCTGTCTGCTGAGCCCTCGTGATAAGTGCGGCTGTCGACCTTTACATCAGCACCAGCGCCTCTGCAGTGTATGGAAGCCCGTTTCCGCCACTAAATAAAAATATATAATTCTGTAAGTCAAACTAATGAGAAACTTTCTCGAAATTATGACTTAGTATCTCGAAATAATGAGAAACTTTCTCATAATAATGACTTAGTTTCTCGTAATAATGAGAAACTTTCTCGAAATAATGACTTAGTATCTCATAATAATGACTTAGTTTCTCGTAATAATGAGAAACTTTCTCGAAATAATGACTTAGTATCTCATAATAATGACTTAGTTTCTCGTAATAATGAGAAACTTTCTCGAAATAATGACTTAGTATCTCATAATAATGACTTAGTTTCTCGTAATAATGAGAAACTTTCTCGAAATAATGACTTAGTATCTCATAATAATGACTTAGTTTCTCGTAATAATGAGAAACTTTCTCGAAATAATGACTTAGTATCTCATAATAATGACTTAGTTTCTCGTAATAATGAGAAACTTTCTCGAAATAATGACTTAGTATCTCATAATAATGACTTAGTTTCTCGTAATAATGAGAAACTTTCTCGAAATAATGACTTAGTATCTCATAATAATGACTTAGTTTCTCGTAATAATGAGAAACTTTCTCGAAATAATGACTTAGTATCTCATAATAATGACTTAGTTTCTCGTAATAATGAGAAACTTTCTCGAAATAATGACTTAGTATCTCATAATAATGACTTAGTTTCTCGTAATAATGAGAAACTTTCTCGAAATAATGACTTAGTATCTCATAATAATGACTTAGTTTCTCGTAATAATGAGAAACTTTCTCGAAATAATGACTTAGTATCTCATAATAATGACTTAGTTTCTCGTAATAATGAGAAACTTTCTCGAAATAATGACTTAGTATCTCATAATAATGACTTAGTTTCTCGTAATAATGAGAAACTTTCTCGAAATAATGACTTAGTATCTCATAATAATGACTTAGTTTCTCGTAATAATGAGAAACTTTCTCGAAATAATGACTTAGTATCTCATAATAATGACTTAGTTTCTCGTAATAATGAGAAACTTTCTCGAAATAATGACTTAGTATCTCATAATAATGACTTAGTTTCTCGTAATAATGAGAAACTTTCTCGAAATAATGACTTAGTATCTCATAATAATGACTTAGTTTCTCGTAATAATGAGAAACTTTCTCGAAATAATGACTTAGTATCTCATAATAATGACTTAGTTTCTCGTAATAATGAGAAACTTTCTCGAAATAATGACTTAGTATCTCATAATAATGACTTAGTTTCTCGTAATAATGAGAAACTTTCTCGAAATAATGACTTAGTATCTCATAATAATGACTTAGTTTCTCGTAATAATGAGAAACTTTCTCGAAATAATGACTTAGTATCTCATAATAATGACTTAGTTTCTCGTAATAATGAGAAACTTTCTCGAAATAATGACTTAGTATCTCATAATAATGACTTAGTTTCTCGTAATAATGAGAAACTTTCTCGAAATAATGACTTAGTATCTCATAATAATGACTTAGTTTCTCGTAATAATGAGAAACTTTCTCGAAATAATGACTTAGTATCTCATAATAATGACTTAGTTTCTCGTAA